GCAGGTGATAGGCCTGGGAATAAACAGAAATGTTTAGGGGGGCAGAGAGTGCTGGTGACATTTGGACAACTACTGTTAAATGTGACCCCACCAGTACTCACAACATTGCGCTGGGCCTTCTTGAGTTGGTCAACTTGGGGAAACGCTAAGTTGGAGACATTGGAGGAGTGACTGTTGTAATTGACATTTCACTCTTAGCCCTTTATCTGCACTTATGAAAAAGCGCTGTGCTTCACAGTTCCACCAGGGGGCAGGAGGGGTCACATTACACATACAGAGCATTAAAAAAAAAAAATCCCCAAACTTTTTCCCAAAAACTGTGTTCCTCCTCATGAAACCGTATCCTCCAGCTGTGGCGTTCCAGACGCCCGCCCCGACCCGCCGCGGCTCCCGCCCCGAGGCGGCGCCCGCCGCCCGCCGCCTCCCCCTGCGCCCCTGCCCGCGCCCCTGCCCTCACCCTGTGCTGCCGGCGCCTTGGACACGCCGTCCCCAGCACCTCTGCCCCTAACCTTTGCCCTGAAGATGAAGGTTTGGCTGTTGCTTGGTCTTCTGCTCGTGCAGGAAGCGCTCGAGGATGGTGAGTGACTCAGAGTGGGGGCTCCCGGGTTTGTGCCCTAACTTTAGACGGGATCCACCCAACCCACACCGTCCCCCAGACCTCCTTGTCCTCCAGCCAGTTCTTCCTCTACTGACCTTTCGAGCCTTGACCCTGGCGCCACTCTCTGCCAGTTGCACCTGCCCTTTCCTAGTAGGGTCTCCTTGCCTCCCTCTTTCCACCTCCTCTTGGGAGGCAGCTCCCTCAAGCCTTAGGATCCCCACCAGGACCGCTCCACTGCTCCCAGAAAGCCCTCAGCTGGCAAACCGAGCATCTCCAGCCAGCGAGCGCCTGGTCCAGCCCCCAGTGTCAACGTGTCGTTCTGGGAGGTGGTGCAGATCTCTTCCTCCTCCGAGCGGCCGCGTTTGCCCCGGGATCTCTGCTTCTGAAGGCGGGTGCTATCTGAGCAAGGCAGTTGCTGATTCTTTTGCAAAATTCTAAGTGTCCTCCTCTTCCTCCTCCTGCCATTCACAGCCCTGGATTTGTTTCCTCTACCGCCTTGAACTTGACTCTCGCAGGATCTGCCTGAGGCTTACACCAGATATTTCTATGTATTAAGCTTCAAAACGAACCCCAAACCCACAGCTGTTATTTACACTTCCTATCTGGGTGAATGGGAAAAGATAAAGAAAATGCATTTTTGTACAGCACATGGGAGCCCTGGTGCCTCCGCACTATTTCAAATGTGTGCCTGTCCTGGGCCCACCCTGTTTTGTAGACTCACAACCACAGGGTCAGGCTTTTTTATGTGCGTGAACGTGGTGTTTGTATCTATATCTATGTCTATACCCATATTACTGTTAGCATTTAATTGTTTTGCTGGCTCCACTATTTATTCGATCGGTGTCATTTGTACAGTATATTTGGCATCTGGGTGCATCTTGGCATCCTGAACCCTCCTTTGGAATTCCTCAGCTACAACCACAGTTTTTGCTTAGTTTTGGTTGAAAAGCAGCTTATGCTGTTATGCAACCTCACCCTGGAGCCAGCTTAACCTGGCTCACATTCTATCCACTACTCAGCCCTGACCAGCCCCTTTCTTTCCCATGAAACTAGAAGCATTTGCCAAAGCTTAGCACATTTTATTTTGCAATGTCCAAGATGGTTATGGGACTTCAAACAGAGCGTGAGGCTCCTCAAACCTGGAGCCTTGCTGAGTAAAGTGTAGGGAACACTTCTACTTGGAGGAGCAACAGGTACTCTGCCCAGAAGGGAGTTGGCATAAGTTCACATTGTAAAATATATTAAAACGCTCCTGGCAGGTCTTTGTATGTCGCTTGCTAAAGTGATGGAAATGTGGTATTTGGTATCATTTTTTGAACAGGGCAGAATATGGCCAGACAAAATAATTTCAAGTAGTCTACTCACTTGGTTAGACAATCCACCCAGGATGCCTGCCTCAGAGGCTCAGGAAACAGCGCCAGCCTCTGTCTCCTGGATTTTTCTGGCCAGGGTGTGCCCAGACCATGAGAATCATTGCAAACTGCCTGAATCAGTTAGTGTCTGTTTTAGTCAAATGTCATTCACCCAATAAACTCTTATGAGACAATCAGAGAAAGCTGAGCACAGACTAAATATTTTATAAGACATAATTGATACATTTAGGTGTGATAATAGCACCATGACTTTGTTTTTAAAGTATATACTTTAAAATATACAGAATAGAATATTGATGAATAAAATGTTGAACACATAATTATAAAAGTAAATCTGCTTTGTTAAATTATATAACAGTTTTCCTAAATCTATTAAGAATTTGTTTTTTTTTTTCCTGTTTTGAGTTATCAGGTGGCTGGCTGGGGCCCAGGAACAGGCCGATGAGACTGGCTTATTATAGGAAGCAGTGCCAGTCTCTGATTGGCAGGTTGGGATACACTGCATCCTCAGCCATCTGAGGTTTAATACATGGACACAAGGCCCATGACTCAACTTACCCACTGCCTTTCCACTTTTCTGATCATTTCTAGGAGAGGCTTTTTAATAATAAAAGGCTTCCCGTGTGTTGGGTATACAGTGCTCTAACCCAGCGATATTTGCCTGGCCTGATTCTAAAATGCTTTAAATTTTTAGAAGTAATGTTATTTCTCCTTGTAAAGAGTAGGAGCTGGAAGGGCACATATTGGTCTTGTGGCGTGAACGTGAGGCATGAGAATAGTTCATAAACAGCCCAAGATCCCACTTTGAGTCAGACATAGCTCACAGCACCTGATTTTCAGCATTTGCATGGAATGCGTGCCACTGTTTATTGACAGGGTGCTGCTGTAAAATCTCAAGCACCTATCAACTTTTGGTTATCCATGTATTTTATCCAATGTCAGTAGACAATGAACAATGAAGCATAGGTAATGATTTGTTACTGCTGTTTTGTTGATCTTCTGCCAGACCCTTGATCAAAGCCAATTTGATCTTCAGTCTAACATGAGTTTATTTTGGATCCTGTGAAAAGCTATCTTGATAGGAGACTCATCATAATGTGAGGGTAATACAGCCAGATTTCTGTAAGGAGAACAACACCGATGATCTTCTCACCAGGACTCTATCATTTTTGTGTCTCACTTTATTCCTTGGAAAAGAGAGTAAAGATTAGTTCAGAAATTCGTATAATGAAAAAAGAATTATAAATGTTCTGACTATTAACAAGTGCAAGTAATGAATATTTCAAAGGAATTAGGATTTTGGCCTATATGTTTGACATACAGAATAATCTGTGATCCCTAGGGGCCAAGAAAGTTTGAGGGCAAGAAAGAGATTGTGCCGGCCAGAGGAGTGAGAGAGGTCCTGTGGATTGATGGCTTTTCCTAGACTAGGCTGTACAGCCCCTTACTTTGTGGCATTCATAGTCTAATGGAGAGAACAGATAATAAGTAAAGATAAAATTTCAGGAAGTGATAAGCGGCACGAAGCATCAATAGTCAGGGTGTATGCGTTTCCTAGGGCTGCTGTCATAAAGTACAAGAAACAGGATGGCTTAAGAAGTTTATTCTTGCAGAGCTCTGGAGAATAGAAGTTCGAGGTCAAGCTGTCAGCAGGGCTGTGCTCCCTCTGAGACTCGAGGTAGGGTCCTTCCTTGCCGCTTCCTAACTTGCTGCTGGTGGCTGGCAATCCTTGGCGTTCCTTGACTTGCAGCTGAATCACCTCAATCTCTGCCTTTGTTGGCACTTAGCCATCTTCTCCCTCTGTGGCTCTGTCTTTACATGGCATTTTCCTCTGTGTGTGTGTGTTCATGTTCTCTTTTTCTAAGGATACCAGCGTATTGTATTAGATTTACCCTAATGATCGCATCTTAACTTGATGACATCTGCAAAGATCCTATTTCCAAATAAGGTCACATTCACCAGAACCAGGGGTTAGGACTTCAGTGTATCTTTTTGGGAACGCAATTCACCTCATCACACAGGGTAAGGAAACGGAGAAGGCTGCAGAGGGGAGTGACAGCGTGGTTGAAAGGAGAGTCAGAGGCCTGCCTGGAGGGAGGAAGCAAGTGCTGCAGTTGTCTGAAAGAAGACAAGAAGGGCACCGGAAGCACAACAGCCTCTGGGTGTCCTGGTGGCCAGTGTGGCTGGAGATGTGAAACAGGAAGTGGCAAAGCCTTGTAGGGCACGCAAAGACATAGGGCTTCATTCTAAATTAGATGAAAGCCATGGAGTGTCTTGAGCAGAGGCGTGCCCATGATCTCATGATCTGATTTATGTTTTCAAAGGTCAGTATTAGAATGGAAGCCAGGAGCCTACATGGCTTCAAATTTTAATCGTCTAGGTCAATGGTTCTCAACCTTCCTAATGCCACGACCCCTTAATACAGTTTCCTCATGTTGTGGTGACCCCCAACCATAAAATTATTTTCGTTGCTACTCTATAACTGTAATTTTGCTACTGTTGTGAATCGTCATGTAAATATCTTTGTTTTCCTATGGTCTTAGGTGACCCCTGTTGAAAGGGTCTTTCGACCCCCAAAGGGGTCGTGACCCACAGATTGAGAACCGCTGGTCTAGGTGAAAAGTATCTTGGTCCAGGGTGGTTGCAGTGGATGGAAGGAGAAGAGATTGGGCTCAGAGTCTATTTTGAAGGCAAAGCCAAGAGGAGTTGCTGCTGGGTTGGACATGGCTTAGGAGAGAAAGAAAAGAACCGTGTGTGACCCTGAGGTTTTTGTCCTGAGCAACTGGGTGAATAGAGTTGCCATTTGCTGATAAAGGGATGCTGGGGAAGAAGCCAGCCTGAAGGGCATCCAGAGTTCAGTGTGGACATGTTCAATTTGAGATGCCGGCTGGCTTTCCAAGTGGAAGTGCTGAGTAAGCGATAGAATATATTCAGACCCCGAGTTTAGAGGCAAAGTCAGGACAAGAACAAGGCAACTCTCAGCATATAAATGGTGCTAACACCCAGGGGTACCTGTGAGGCCACTTAGAGATTGAGTGTCATTAGCAATTGAGTTGCCAGGATGAAGCCCTTGGGACTCAGATCAGGCAGGAAAGGGAGAGGAGGAAGGGCTGCCAAACAGACTGAGGAGCTGTCAGCAATGCAGGAGAAAAACCAAGACAGTGCTGTGTCCTGGGAACCCAGCAAATCAAGTCTTTCAACAAGAGAGTGATCATTTCATAGTATGTGCCTACAAATATCAACTCATGTTATATGCCTGAAACTAATATAATGTTATACGTCAATTATACTTCAGGTTTTTTTTTTTAAAAAAAGAGTGGTCAACCCTGTTCTAATGGATGTTCTGAAAAATGTTTTAAAGTAAGGCCTTTATCCTGGAATAGAAGTATGTATATAATGCTTAGAAATTGCTGTTTTAAGAAAATGATACTTGTATGCATCCAAATATGTGCCATATCCCTGCAAAGTAACTAGACCTTTTGACCAAACAGGCCCACCAGTCCATCTAACTAGATAGTCGGTCCAGCTGCCTGACTGTGGAATGGGTCGGTGGTTTATGATAACGATGCTAAGTTAAAGGAGCCAGACTAGTGGCCCCACAGACACCCACACAGTCCTAGAATTGAGTGACTTCCCAAATCCCACATCTAACTTTTTAAAGAACAGGACTCTTCAGCCTAATTATGTAAACTATTTTCCAGAGGCCTCGAAAATATAAAAATTTATATTGTAGATCAATAAACATAAAAGTCTATTGCCATTTCAATGTTTGAGACTACTATACAGTAGATTTTATGGAGAAAAAGGTGGTAAAATTCACAAACCATTAAATATCATTACTGACTTCTGGTCCTGGCTGCCACTTTACTAGCTGTGTGGCCTTGGGAAATCACTTAGCCTCTCTCTGCCTCAGTTTGTTCATCTGCAAGTTGAAATTTCTACAGTAATAATGAGTAGTATCTCGTAGATAGTGGTGGGGATTGAGTTAATATTTTTAAATGCAGAGAACAGATCTAACCCATAGAAAGTGCGGGCTAAGCGCTACCTCTTATGTTGTGGTTGTCTCCTGATAATGTCTCATGGCAATCCCCATGATAAACTTATGATGGAGGCAAAGCAACTATTATTCTTCCTAATTTACACGTGAAATAAAACCAAACCTGAGATCACAGAGGCCAAGTAGCTTATCTCTAGTCACTAAGAAGGTAGTGAAAACCAGATCCTTTGACTCCAGATCTAGAGTCTTCTCATGCCATTGCCTTTTGATTTACATAGATATTAACATACTGTAGCAGTTTCACATTATTTGCACAAATCTCACGCACGACACCATTGTCTAAGTGGTTTCTTTGTTTGATAGGCCCTGGGCTTTGTCAGTGAGTTCCAAGTCAAACAAAACTTGATGCCAGGGATGAGAGCATAACCTTCCTGGAGGGGCCGAAGATGCTTTTCCAAGGCATACATGAGAATCCCCAAGCGAGAGACGCTGGGCAAACGCCCATCTCCAGAATGAATGAATAAATGTTACAAAGCAGGATAAAGAGCTGTAATTCTTCAGCATCAACTGAGGGTTGCCATCAACCCTTCTTCAATAACTATTAACCTCTAATTCTATAGGACTGTGTGGGAGGAGAAAAAAAATTCAGGAGGAAGATCACTGCCTGCTACTTAGATGAGGACTACATGTGAACAGTCATTAACATCAAAGGCCTGTAGTAGTTTGGATTTTTTCTCCCCTTAGAGAGTTAAGGGCAAAGGTCGGCCCTGAGGGTAGCATCCAAACCGCCACACTATAAATTTGCTGAGCAGCTCAGGAGTTCCCCCAAGGAGTTATGTAAACTGAGAGCCATGCCCCACTCTCATTTTTCCATTCTTTATGAATCACCCATAGGAACACATACGCTTTTCCAAGAACAAAACTGAGGAGGCAGGGACGTGGGGACACTCGGGAGATGAAAATGTAGAAAGATGAGAGAGCCTTTCTCTCCCTACTCCCTATGAGAACCCCACTCCAAAATACCCTACCCTTCTGCTATTTCTGAAAGTATAACTTTTATTTATCTACAATATAAATTCTTATGTTTTTGAGGCCTCTGGAAACTAATTTACATAGTTAGGCTGAAAAGTCATGTTCTTTAAAAAGTTGGATGTGGGATTGGGGAGTCACTCAATCCTAGGACTGTCTGGATGTCTGTGGGGCCACTAGTCTGGCTCCTTTAATACAGGGTGATTATCACAAACTGCTGAGCGACCAATTCCATGGTCAGGCAGCTGGACCAACTATCTAGTTAGATGGACTGGTGGGCCTGTTTGGTCAAAAAGTCCAATTATTTTCAGTGACATAGCACATGTTTGGATGCATAATATACATAATTAGGTAATCAAGCATCCCTGAATAGGATAGCCACAAGGATCTGATGGCTTAGAAGTCAAACAAGTTGCACTGGCTGCCCACATTCCAGAGGATTTAAAGAGAGCTGTTGCCATTTTTGATAGCTTGAATTCCTGTCACATAATAAAGAAAACACACCATATCAGACATCCATGCAAAGGTCCATGAATCTCATAGGCATAATGTAACCAAAACACTTGCAGTCCCAGATGACTTGACATCATAATAGTAGGCTTTTATTTTCTACCTTAAGAAAAATACTGTGACTTTTACTCAGTTGCAAAACAGAGGCTTGTTTGTTTGTTTGTTTCAGGTGTACAAAACAGAGGCTTATGCTTCACAGTTGGTATTGCTGGATTAGGGCACTTCTGTCAGGCTGACATGTTTCCATGGTTACCATGCTTCTCTTTCCGGGAGGCTGGGGAAATGTATGCATGTGTGCCACTGCCCACCTCCCTCTGTCATTAGAACCCCAGAGGTAAATAAATCAGACGTGCAGGGGAAGGAGAAGTCTTGGCAAAGGGCAGGTTCAATAGCAGGTCCTGGGGATTCACCTTGAAGACTGGGGCTCAAGAACACAGCTCTGCTGCCTGGGAGGACTGAGAAAGCTCAGTAGGGCCCATGGCCCAGAGGGACCAAAGCACAGGAAGGGATTCAGGCCTAGGGAAGGAAAGAGAGGTCACAGCTGGACCTGAGATCATGGAAGAGCGAGCAGGGCTCAGGGAGCAGGGCATTCAAGCCCAAAGGAAACAGCGTGCTGAGGAGTAGACGCTGATACTGAGCTGGGAGTAGGACTGGGCCCAGAGCCTGGGCCAGGCTGAACCAAGAGTCAGGCTAAATGGCTGCTGTTTCAAAAGGCCAAGGGCAACACGCAAAGAAATCCAAGTTCATCGTTACACAGTGGAGTTCAGATCAGGCGAGTTCTTGGTACAAATCATAAGAGTGTGGCTTCCATGAAATGCCCAGAAACTGCACACACCCCTGTCACCAGCCCAGATCAAGACAGATGTTCCTGGCAATCCCTCTAGTGTCCCCTCCAGTTCATCCCCACCCCTCCCTGGGAAAAACAAAACAAAACGCCTGACTTCTAACCTCAGAGATTCAATGCTGAGGTTTAGAAAAAACCCAGATCTGGCAGCCAGGGCCCATGCGCTCTCTCAAGGCAGCAGCCTGTTAAACCGGGAGCAGCTGTCCCTTTGGGAGAGCATGGCCTCTCTAGCCCACCTGGCACACCTGCTTGGCCCCCTGGCAGAAGAGCTTATAACATGTGCCTTTTTCTGTCTCTTAACCCTAATTCCAATGTCTTTGTACCTTGGACCACTCCGAGCCTTTTGTATACCAAGGTAGTATTAGATAAATAGATATAGCAGAAAGGAAAAAGACATTTCCTCTTGATTTATCTCACGTCTCCATTTTACACACATGTCCTGTCATTCCCTCAGTGGGCCAAGGTTTATGAGGTTATTATTCAAAATAGATACAGGATGTGTGTCTACATATAGTGAAGTGAGCACTTGACTGGGAAACAAGAGACCTGCCTTCTACTCTCATATGCTGTCAGTGACCAGCTTAGTGCAGTTTCTATAACTCTTCAGGGCCTCCTTTATTTTTTTAATCTGCAACATGATACCTTTACCTAAATGCCCTCTCCAGGACCTTATAAGTTTGGACATTTTATAATTTTGTGGGCAAATATCGAGGTCGTCTTTGAGCGGATGCAGACAGGTGGGCAGACAGATGGACAGATGGAGGCTGTCACTGCATAGCCTCCTTCTCATCCCCCTGGTGGACACAAGCGCGTGGCTGCTGGGCTGGGTAGACAGTCGAGATTCCTGGAGCCCAGAGGCAAATCAAGGGCAGAGCAGAGCAAGCAGCCTTCTCTGTGTGCCGGCAATAAGGGGAGCATTGTTTGTGGAGAAAGGAAAAATCGTAATAAAACAGACATAAAGTAGGTCAGATTTTATTCTCACCATTCGTCAGCAATTCTCAACTATGTTGGTAATAAAATACTCCTCCCCCTAAGATATTTTGTTGGCTAAGTTCTCAACCATGGCTGCAGTTACTGTTGAGTTCGAATGGCTTGTATGTAAGCTTTAAATGAGCACAGGTTTAGTACTTGTTCCTGATTAAACCTTGTATTCTATGGGGATGTTGTCAGCCCCTGACACACAAAGACTCCACTGTCCCTGCATTTGGGAGAAAGTTTGTAACGGTTTGAAATCTCCTGAGTGCATTTGCACTGCCGTTTGTGTCTCCGCTCAGTGGAGACAACGTTTTCTTGCATTTAAACAGTAGATTCAAAGTGAACAACGAGAACACTGAAATTGCAAAGACAGGAAATGGACCACCTTGAGGGGCGTCAGTTCTGCCATTCTGTGTGACCCCTGAGAGATCATGAGACAGAGTCCCAATTACAAGGAAAAATATTTTTGTTTCCTAAGTGCAAATTTTAGTTCATGCATGAAATCTATTGCTGAATATGAATAAAATCTTTGAAGCTGAAATGTATTCTCTTTCCATAATTAATTCTTTTACAACTAAAGAATGAACCAAGAAAATAATGATATTGGAAATAATTTTGACATATGAGAAGAGGGGTATTAAAAAGCCATCTGTTTGAGGTGTTAAGCAGTCTAAGTGTATTACTACAACAGTTCATTGTTCTTTCCTCACATTTGTACTAGTCACTGGCCAACACCCTCCCAAGAACAAGCGTCCAAAGGAGACAGGAGAGAACAGAATCAAGCCCGCCAACAAAAAGGTGAAGCCTAAAATTCCTAAAACAAAGGACAGGGACTCAGCTGATTCCCAGCCAAAGACACAGTCTATAATGATGCAGATGATGGATAAAGGTCGCTTCCAGAAACCTGCTGCTACCCTGAGTCTGACAGCGGGGCAAACTCTAGAACTTCGATGTAAAGGGAATAAAATTGGATGGAGCTACCCTGCATACCTTGACACCTTTAAGGACTCCCGCCTCAGGTAAGCATTTATTTTATTTGTTTTACTTGGTTTGGGTCAAGGCTTTGGTTTCATTCTCTCATTAAATGCCGTATTGTTTCTGACATCTACCATTCCACTCCAACAGCTTATAAAAATGAAACCTGGATGAGCAAATACTATAGATTTTATTACTTCTTTGACCAGTTTAAAAAAATATTGCAAATCTTATCATCATTGGCTAAAAGAGTGAAATGTTATAGGTAGCTATGTGACAAATAATCAAAACTTGGATGTATAGAGATAGATATTTAAGAATTCATATTGTAAAACATAATGGACCCATATTTTGTTTTTTTAAGTAATAATAATAATAATAATAATAATAATAATGAAACTTGAAATGACCTAACAGTACCAGCTTAAGCTGTTTTTGGACTTTTCAACTACTTCTGATTATTTTTACTTTCCTGAGTATGTGACTTTTATATTCAGTGGCATCAGTTGGTAAGACGGTCAAAGACTTGTCATGTTTGAAGGAATACCTCCAGGAGGTATTCAGGAAAAGTGGTTACGATGGTGATTATGAAAACTAAAAAGCAAGAAAACAGAGCATGCTTCAATGGATTCTGGGAGGAGCTTGTGGGGTGAGGAGATGTGCATCCTGTGTGTCCTTGGCTACGTCTCCTAGCCTCCCTGGGTCTCAGTTTTCTCATGCATAGAATGAAGGGGATCACACTACATGATTTGTAAGATTCTTTCCAATCCTTCATTTGATGTAGGGTAGAGAAATACAGGATATTGTCTCTTTGGGATAACTAGAATGGGAGAAAGAAAGAATGTGGGTCTCAGGCATCTCAAACTCTGCATGTTCAAAGGTTCATATTTCCATACAAACCGTACCTCCAATCTTTATCTCCCTCCAGGACACCACCATCCACTCAGTTGCTTAGTCAGAAAACAGGAGCATCCTTGCATTTTTCCCTCTTCTCTCACTCCCCACATCCAATCAATCACCAAGTTCAGTGAATTCAGCCTTCTAAGAGCCGTAAGGCTGTCCTCTTTCCATTTCCAGGGCCACTGCCCCAGTCCCAGCCCGTGTCATCCCTCCTCCCCAATACGCAATAACCAACCACACCTGGTGTGTCCTCTTCCAATCTCCTCACTGCAGCTAAAGTACATTGGGGATAAAGTCCAACATCCTCACATAACTGCTGAGACCCTCCCTGATCTCACGGTCTCTGTAGAGTCATTTATCTCTAAATTAGTGTCTCTGCTCTCACTGGCTACACTCTTGTGAGGTCCTCAAATACTCCAGGCTTTTGGGGCCTTAAAACTTGCCTGGACCATTCTTGGCACCATCTTTATCTGGCTAACTTCAGCCTCAGTGGCACTTTCTCTGGGAAGCCCATGTCAGGCCTCCCTAGGTTTGCATTCCAATGGCCCCTGGTACATCCTTCTTTGAGAATTCTTTATATTTGTAACTCCTTAAAAAAAGAAAATCTGTTTTTCACTGGGATTTAACTGAGTCATTTGCATTTAGCTTTATCTGTTGAATGAATGGCAATCTTCTCTCTCTTATTTTTTTGCACACATACACATGGGAGTAGAAATTAGTTAAAATGTTTTTATAAGTAATACCTCTCTGTCTGTCTTTCTAACTTCTGGCATTTAGACCTCTTTCATGTTTTATTCTGAAGATATTGTTCTGGTTCCCTGGTATATAAAAGTACAGTTATTTTCTTAAGGGATATTTTGTTGGATGAGGGGTGGAGAGTGATTGAATGAGACAGTTTTTCCCATTTTGATCTCCACACTTGAAATATGCACGTGTGTGTGTATCCTCTGCTTGGAACAAATCTGGAAAGACGTATTACCATTGACTTTGTAAATGTCATAATTTAGCAAAGTCAGATTTACACTCTTTTCTTTAAAACCAGAATTGAGCTATTTCAAATTATTCTGAACAGTTGGTCTTTGACTTACATAAAGTATGTTAAACCTAGATGATTTGGCCCTGAAGATTTAGTATTTTCTAGGAGTATTTTTGAAGTTATGTTAGCCAAAATATGTTTGAAATATCTTAAGGACTCAAAGTGAAGTGAACATGAATTGAAAAGAAATATCCAGGAACGGGAAAAAACCATTTTTGACTTAACATTAAATACTATTCATTCAAAGCACAGTTAGGGCTTTATAAGAAAGTGAAGACAGATGTGGGCTACCAAGGACTTTGTGAAAAAATGTGAAAAATGTAGAAAAAACATCTAGTCATAACTCTATATCAAACAACAACAACAAAAATCACGCTTTATTTGACACCAGAGATTCAACAAATCGACTCTTGACATCTTTCCCGGAACATGGTGCCTTTGGATAGAAGAGAAGTATTCATTCTGTGTTTTCTTTTTCCATGGAATGAGTTCTTTCCAGTGTTCTGACAGCTTTGGGGTTGGAAGCTCCCCAAGTGTACTTCCAGCAAAACCTGGTCATTGTGAGCAATTTCGGTAGCTCTCTGGAACTGAGTTCACATACTACCACATTTCTCCACATTTAATCTTCTGACCAGAAAAGAGAGAATATTATGGAACAGAGAGGTCAGGCTGAGGCACAGCTAGATTTGAACCCTGCCTTTTCCACTAACCAGCAAAGTGATCTTTGATCTGTAATTTCCCTAGAACCCAATTTCCTCATCTGGAATATGGAGATAGTGTGACCTATGGTAAGCTCTGCCTGGCTCATGGTAAATGTTCAATAAATAGTAACTAATTATTACTAGGCAATGTATATTTCTCAAACACAGTAATCCTTTTGGGACATTTAATTCTGACTAGGATGCACATAAATCAGGGAGTTATGCATCACCAACCTGGCTGCTAATATAAGAAAATTTGAACACCTCTTTCCCACTTTCATTTCATTGATAAATTCTTTGTAATCTGGGGCCTGTGTCCATCTTCCCCCATGAAAGCAAAAACCATTTGAGGGTCAATATCACCTCTGTGTGGTTCATCCTCAGATTCCTGACACCGAGAATAATGCCTTACTCGTGCCAGAACTCAGGAAATATGTTTTCGTTTCCTCAGGGAGTTAGCAATCATGTCAATAGTCAGTTCCTAGACAGGCATTCTTTCATTCAACATTTAAAGATAATCATAGTCAGTGCCGATGTGTGCGCTGTATGTATTGGAAGGAGGGTAACAACAAAGTATGAATGTATTTTATATCTAGGGTGCTGTGCCACCTGGACCCAGCCCTGTTATCTCAGAGCCTGTTGTTGTCGACCACATGGAGCCATTAGTCAGTTGATCCCCTCTACCTTCTCCCTCTTTATCCATCGTATCCCCTTCTGTCTTCACTTCTCGCTCTTTCTTTGTATTCCAGGGTCTCTTATCTCTACTAAACCCTTGAACACATCTTAAGTTATTTTTGCCCTTTGTTTTCCTTCATGAGCGTTTAGAAGCTTCCAGCCCCCAATGAACCTGGTCGCCTATTTTCTCTTGCTGCACATGGAACTGAGCACCACTGGAGGAAGCCATGCAGCTAGCTGGCTGGATGGGTGCCATTAGTTTGTGGTCACCTCACTCGTGCATGGCGAAGCTGGATATGTTTCTCTAGAGAGCTCATTTTTTTCTCTTCTTAAATTTCTGATCTTCTCCATCTCTCCCACTTTCAGCTAATGAAATTATCACCTAATGTATTGAAAAACTGGAATATTTTAATAGCCTGACCTTCCGCTTATCACATCTCTTCCTTTCCTGCTCTCCCAATTATAGTGGAAGGAGGGCTTCTCCTCTTGACTGAGGCCAAAGCTCCTTCTGTGCCCTGGATGCCATCCTTATGTGCTTCCTTAGGAACCTTAAGACATCAGTTATTGCCTCCCCTATTCTTGGTTTTCACATTCATTTTCTCCATGGGATCCTTTCCATAAATCTTCTCCGTATTCAGACCCACCTTCGCCCCCATGTGCCCTCCAACCATCTTCCTCTCCGCTTACCTTCACAGCCAGACCCTTTGAAGGAGTATCTCTCTACACTCATTGTCTCCACTTTCCTTTTCCAGTTACTCTTCAACTACTCCACCTGACTCCTGTGCCACTACTCCACATGCATTTTATCAGCAAGGCCAGGGTCACTTTTCCATCCCCACACGACTGCTCCAGTGGGTCCGTCAGCAGAAGGGAACACTCTTGGTTTCCACAATACCGAGTTCTTCCAGTTTCCTTTCTGCCTCACTGGCCCCTCCTTGCAGTTTTCTTCACCAGCCCTGCATCCTCTACTTTCTCAGACATTAAATGTTGATTCTGTGCCCTCTTCTCTTCTCACTACATGCTGCCAAATACCCTTCATTTATCATATATTAGATTAAATGTTTCTTCTAAGCTCTAGATTGAGCTGTTCAACTGTCGGCTCAAAGTGTCCAGGTCTTTTCCTGAGCCTTTCTTTCAACGTAACCATCTAAAACTCAGCTCCTGGTCCTTCTGCACCCCTGGTCATCCTCCTGTGTCCTCTAGTTCACAAATGGCACTAATTTCATCCAATTGCTCTTGACCAGAGGCCCGAGAACCACTTTGGACACTTCCCTTTTACTTCCACATCCAATCAACTCTTGTGCCCTAATGATGCTACTATTGAATTATTTTTTGGATCGCCCCACTTCTTTCCACCACAGTAGCAATGACTCTAGTCTCTTTCTTACAGCAGTAATCACATAACTGGATTTTCTGCACCTAAGCTCAAACCAGAACCCAACCCTCCACACAGCAGTCAGATTTTTCACAAAAGCACATCTGATTCTGTCACTTTCCTGCTTCAAGCCCTTCAATAGAGCAATTCTGTTGCTCGTAAAAGAAAGTAGAAACTCTTAACATGGCCCACAAGGCCATGCATAGTCTGACCCCTGCCTTTGCCTGCTGCCCCATTTCATTTCATTCCCTCTCGTCCACACTCCAGGCTCTATGGACTTTCTCTGATCCCCAGATGTGTCAGACTCCTTCCTGTCTGGGGCCTTTGCCCATTTGGGTCCTTCTGCCTGTAATGCAC